ATAGGATGGAACTTTCCCTCCAAACCCATGACAGACAGGTAACATCAGTGCTGTATGTAACACACCCCACCACAGATTTCCTTGGGTTTCCTTTCTTTAAAAAATCCTATGTGACATTTCATTTGTTACAATGCCCCTGCTGTAATGTTACTCTGAGGCACTGTGGACACTTACACTAAAAGTGGTTGCTACCGCTTCCAAGCAAGCATGGTCCAGCAACATAAGATGGGACCCCTCCATTTTGTTCGGCTAGGGACAGACTCAGAGCTCAGGTTGGCTCTGATGCTCTGGATGGGCATTAGAATTTAACAGATCATGCATGAATAATATAACAGTCTGTTGGCTGTCTTAATCTGGAACTTGCAGTCCAAAGCATCAATATTTCCCCTTTGAGAAATATTTCCCCTAGAATTTAACAGATCATGAATAATAACAGTCTGTTGGCTGTCGTAATCTGGAACTTGTAGTCCAAAGCATTAATATTTCCCCTTTGAGAAATATTTCCCCTTGAGGAGAAAGGAAAGGTAGAGGGCAAGGAAACAGGGCTATGAACCTCTTACTCTTAAAGATCAAGAGGTTTGTACATTTTATATTGCTTCTAATCTTGTTGACTCTGCTGAGGCCCAGCCCAGAATCTGGAGCCAGCTAATCAGTCCCTGACAACTAGCTTCTCACAGGCAATCTGATTTGGCATGTAGTTTTGTTCTTTGAAAGCTTGGGTAGGTTGGGGGTCAGGGGGATGGGCATGGCATTGTGCAGGTCTGGACTTTCTACTTTGTTTAAGCCACTGGCATTACAGATGACCCCAGGAGTGGCTCCATAATTTCCCATGAAAAATCAAGTTAACTATCTTTGTAACATGCACTATAAAAGAGATGGTATGGGTAGTGACATTGTTTAATTACGGGCCTTAAAAGATAAAACCAACACACTTACTGCTTGATGTGCCACACCAAAGAACTGGAATAAGTCTTGACATAAGGCAGAGGATTGCTGCCAAATGGTCTTCAAAGCCAGTGCCTAATCCCCTCTAAGGAAAGACTTGCTTTTATAAGGAATTCCCAGAAGACAACTGGCGAAACTGATCAGACCCCTCTTAAAAAAATAATAATGGTAACGATGCTCTTTGAAGCTTGAGTAAACAGTCCTTCATTCAGGTACAAACAGAACAGAGAGAAGAAGAAGAAAAAAGTTGTTATGGGTGAGAGAATCAGCGGATGAGGTGGGAGTGGAATGGCTTAGTCAAGGTGAAAACTAAGTCCAGCATTTAATAAAAAGTTGTGCGATGGATGCTCATGAATTTCTCCAGTGCAGGCCATAAAAAAGTTGCTATCCTGTATTTAATAAAAAGAAACAATGGAAAAATGAAAGAGCCAAATTCTTAGCCCACTTACCTGATGCCTCTTCTTGTATACTGCGTGACCATTTTCTCTTGGGGAAATGTTCAGTGAAGCAATGTGGTCTTTTGAAGTGTTTGGCCAATTTCCATTTGCCCTTTTTGCACAAGTCTATTAAAATTGGTATGTTAAGCTGTTTTATATACCCACTTCCACACATTTCATTTTTCTCTTTGTCTGTGATGTGTATTTCAAACTTCTGATTATTCTGTTTCCATTTGTGAAATTGATTTCAGATGGTTAAATTAATATCAGTCCTTTGCATTAGAGCAAGGCTGAAGAGACACAAGTTGCAATCGACGTAAATATGTATGGGAGTAGAAATGCACAGTACTTTGTGCATATACGGCTGAATATTTCAACTCAAAGCATTTCTGTATTCATTTTCTCTCTAGCCAAGAAGCCATAAGCTAGCAATTTTGAAAGGGTTGTAGGTGAACAAAGTTGGTAATACCATCTGCCTTTAAGGCATCTTAGAAAGAAAGGGTCAGTGTCCTGATTTTCATGGGAAATTATACAGTCTAGTCTCCCCAGAGTCATCTAGAATGCTAGCCCAGACAAACTGCATACCTTACTGGAACATACAGTCAAATTCACAGTTTCTTTCTCTTTGAACTCTGAAATGAAATTTTGGCTAAGTTAAGAAGACAATGGTTCTTTTATAATTGAATTGAATTGAAGAGCATCCCAATTCCATGATCTTAATTTCCCCACTGCATGGAGAAACCCTGAATCATGAAGTAAGAATTGTCAGCTCAGAACTAGAAAACTTAACGAGGTAAGAATTAAGCTCACAATTTAAGTTTTTCTTGTGCGACTAATTCACTAGGTCACCTGAGACTGTCTGTTCTCAAAGATATATGCAAAATTGTCTAAACAATCTCAAAATGTTTGTAAATGCTACACATTTTTATTCCCTGTGTTTTCATACGTTTCTGGCCAAAAGTGTTGAGGTAAAAAAATGGAAGGGGTGGTTTCTTTCTTCTTTCCTTCAAAACAAAACCAAAATTAGATTAATATAGTCATATCCTACTCCTCAACAAGTTCTTAGATCATCTGATACGAAGTTTAAAAATTGCACTAAAACACAGCATTCAAATACCACAATATAAAATGGGAGTATTAGAATGCTGAATTAAAAGCAAACTCCAAGCAATGTAAAAAACAAAGTATGGAGGAATTAAAAGCCTGAGAAAATAAAAATATCTTTGCCAGGTGCTGAAATGACAACCCTTATAGGCTCTTCTCCTATAAACATCAGCTGAGTACTCAAAAAGACATTTGTTAAAAATATTAGTGCCACCTACCCACAGTTTTCTTATGCTGTCCCGTGTGTAATGTATTACCGTGTTCTAATCTGTAGATGAGATGGCTAGGTAGCTCAGTAGTTTAGGTATCTGTCTGCAGAGCCAGAAGTTTGGAGTTTGATTTCCCCAGTGTGCCTTCTGGGAGATGAGCCATTCTGTGTCACTATGGACAAACCATATTGTCCCAGGGCACTCTTCAGAAGAAGGAAATGGTAAACTACTTCTGGACATCCTCTACCTAGAAAGGATTGCTGTAAGTCAGAATTGACTTGACGGCACACAGTTATTATTATATTGCTCTGTAGGTGATCAAGGCCCAGTTCCTTCCTGAGGTCAGACTTTTCCTCTTTGGATTGAATTGCAGTTGGTACACCAGCCAAAGTTGGGCATAAAGGCAACTTCTGCATCTAGAGACAATCCTGCAAAACATATATTTAAGAAGAACGTGGAAGTACTGTTTCTGAAGAAATAAATGGTTTCTTTCACATTATCATCCTGCTAGAGGATTTCTTTATATTGGGCAACTTCTTTCACATTATCATCCTTCATTTTGGTGATGCCTGCTAGAGGATTTCTTTATATTGGGCAAAATCCTGTTGTAGATTGCACTAGAGTAGGCCCCTTTGAATCAATGGACCTTACAGAGGAATATAGTCACAAATTACCATTAATTCAACCTATTCTAGTGTGGTTTACTGCACTAAGCAACAGGATTTAGGCCACTGCTCCTAAATGATGAAATAATATTGGAATAATAAGACACTTGTAATTCTAAACACAGAAATAGAACACATTTAACAACTGTGTTATGCAAAGCAACATGGGATGTGCCGTTTGAATGCCACTTGCAACCCCAACAGATAGTGTGTTCAACATAATAATTGCAAAAATAACCAGGAGATATAAAACAGAACTTGGAAAAGTTACTTTTCTGGACTACAGCTGTTGGAAACTTCCAAGCCAGTATGGCCAGCAGCTAATGAATGTTGGGAGCTTCAGCCCAAAAAAATCAAACTTCCCTAAGCCGCAATTTAGGGAAAGCTTCCTGGGCTATTATAAACAGCTGGTGGTCTGCGTTCATTTTGTTAGGTCTTGTAGGGCTACAGTAAAACATTGTGAATAAGGTGATAATTGCTGGTACTAGCTTTTCACCTCAAAATCTGTAATGCAGTATTTTAAGATACTTTTCTGTTTACAACTTGTTATACTGTTGAGAATGTATTTCCTAACATCACTGAAAATTGCAAAAAAAGAATAATTTCACAATTTGCAAGTCAGTTTTTTAAAAAATATATACTTTTTCCTATGTTCTGTAATGTTTTTTGCTAATTTGCTTTGATCTCTTTTTTTAATACATGAAAACATACTTAAGAAGTGTTACTGATTGGTCCGCTCATTGTGAACTATATTCTTCTGCAATAAATTTGCCTATAATGAGATGAGGCAGAGCAAGATTAAAATGATCCAGGGAGTTGCGTATTTTGACATTTCCCACATAACATTTCTTGAAAAGCAACTTGGTGTGATATGATATCATTGCAAGCCCATGATTTTCAGAGTTGTGCCTGTTTACATTAATTGTCTCTGTGAGAAATCACTCATTTGAAAACCATTGTCTAAATAACCCTTTGGAAAGTCGTTGTCATAGGCTGGAAATAATGTGCTGTTCATTTGTGATTAATTGCATAGAAAAAAAGGGGGGACAAAACTGAAATGAGCTCTGTGCTGCCAGAATTGGTTTGCACTAACAGGAAATTATGAACCATTTATAATCAGGGTGCCTCTTTCATTATGACTAACAAGCAATTTCCATTTCCTAAAACCTGAGCATATGACAGGTACAGGAATATTTCTGTCGCCAGGCTTCAGTGGGTCGGTCATGAGTCTGATCTGGTAAAGCAGATCGTTTACGGAAATGCGGTTATCTTGCTGGCATGCATCAGTTTTACTTGGGGCAACTGTCATCAGCAGAGTTTTATATAAAACTATAAAATGGCAAAAGGCATTGCTTATTTATATATGTTATTGAAATATCTATCCTGTATCATTCCGATTGTTTAAGACTGTGAGCCATCAGACCATATGCAGCTTACCAGCCATGTGTGATGACAGCCCATAGGGTAGTCAATAAATCTCATGATAAAATGGGCAGCATTGATGAACTGTAAGAATTTCAGACTTGATTTCCAATTTTCAATAGCAGTACTTTTTAAGCAAGCTATGTTCTAGAAGCATTCAAGTAACTTGTTCCTTCTGAGCACTTATAGTAGAATGTAATTGTCCGATATGGGAAGACATAGTCTAATTTCTGCACCACAATCTCAGTCTGTGTTCCTTCCTCCTTACCACTGAATGCGTTAGGGTGTGACGAGATGGCCAAATTGGGTTGGGCTAAATGAGGTTGCTTTGAGGTACAGCATGTCATTTGGGGTGGCTCTTGCATTGAATTGGGTGGTTTTTGTGACGGAAACCACACTGCAACCAAGCAACCTTTTTTAGGCCTTCCCCACATTTAAAGAGAAAGAAAAACAAAAAAGGGGGAAAAATTAACGCCCCCCTTTGTCCCCTCCTACCTCCCTCTCCATGGAGAAGAGGGAGAAGTCAGCAATTTTAAATATAAATACTATATATATCTAAGCGGCATATCACTGAATTGGCTTGCCAGTTACCCAGTTCAGTGCTGGATTACAGAGTTAAAAACCGCTTTCATATCTTTTTATGCCTCCCCCTTTGCTGGGGAGCAGAGGAAACTTTAAATTTCCTAATACTGTAATTTGTTAGCTTCTGAAACAGTTTTAAGTAATGTGACAGCCAGCCATCTAATTTGGTTCAATCCTAATGAAGTTCTCATGCAAGAACCGAACCAACACAGAGCTATTCTACCCACACTAAAAAATAGTAGCTCCAGACAGTGACCTAAAAAGGCGCAGGTAGGCATGGATGGGTTGGTTTGCAACTGCCTGTACGGCGTGTGGTCACTAGAAAAAGAAGTGATCCAACCCATTCACAAAGCAGACCAAACTGCAGGACAAAGCACTATCTGATTGCAGTACATTAATTCAATACATTTACAGAATGCTCACAACCCTGAATGCTCACTTGAAGGACAGATCCTGAAGCTGAGGCTCCAGTACTTTGGCCATCTCATGAGAAGAAAAGAGTCCTTGGAAAAAACCTTGATGTTAGGAAGGTGTGATGGCAAGAGGAGAAGGGGACGACCGAGGATGAGATGGCTGGACAGTGTCTGCGAAGCAACCAACATGAACCTGACACAACTCCGGGAGGCAGTAGAAGACAGGAGGGCCTGGCGTGCTCTGGTCCATGGGGTCACGAAGAGTCGGACACGACTAAACGACTAAACACACACACACAGTATGGGTTCCTGAAAGTGTCATTTCCTGTTAAATCTGAACCTGGAAATGCAGTTTAAACTATGATTACAAAACAGAATGGCAACTCATGGCATTAATCCTGGTTTGCAAGACAGTTTTATGATCATAACTTGAACCCAAAGTTTTCCATTCAGAGTGATAGTCCTGGCTATGAGATCTACCAGAAGTGGTAGACTTATTCTCTGAAATTATCAGGGCTTTTTTGTACACAAAATATACAGCTCCAAAAGAACATTTATACTGTTCAAAAGTGAAGTATTTGAGAAGTTCTTTGACTAGATTGTTAAAACCTACCTGCTAACAATGTGAGCAATCCAGCCTCTTCTAATCCTGATTAAGTATGATTACTGCTGCTCTCTCCAGAATGCTCACCAGTGTTTCCAAGATGAAGACCATGGGGAACCTATATCTGATATATTTTATGAAGCTCTTAAATAATGAGAAAGGGGATGACAGTAGAAACACTCAGTACCTTTTAAAGTATTGTGTTTGCTCAGCTGGGATTCCCTATGCCTGTTCTTTAGTTGCTTTTTAATGTCCCTCTCCTCCCTCCCCTACCACTGGAGTTCATGGTATGTGACATTCTGCAGTGATGCTGTTGAATTCCAAGTTCTGAAAATTCCCCCCTCCTTTTTTGTAGGCTTCCAGCTGCATTGAGTGTGACACAAAGGATCAAAACATGCATGCACACATGCAAAGAAAACATGCAAGTATGTGAACAGTGGTTCATGCTATGCATGTGACTTATGCTCACATAGCCGTATACAGTTTGCGTTCCCCCTTGTACAAATTCCTTTGGGTGACTTTGCAGAAAGCTGGAAAAACACTGAATTCCTCCAAACTTTTTCTGCTTAATTTTGTTTGGCCATTATATTTTCTGATCAGTGGTGAGCCTTCCAGATCCTCCTATACATGCCAATGGCAATTAAGGATATTTCTTGGTAAGCATGTCCAGAAAAGAACAATTCCATCTAAACATGCGAAGACTTGGCATTCTACAGTCTTAGCTTCTCTTCTTCATTGCTTGCTTCGTAACGTCTTGCTGATTTCTCTTGTTTTGGTATCAACAGTATTTGAACCAGAGTTAAAGAAGGTTTTGTTGCTTCTTAACAGAATTCCCCTGTTGCAACTTTTAAAGCAAGTTACCATATTTTTCTCTTTATAAGATGACCCAATGTATAAGATGATCCCCTTTTTCTAACCTCAAATTAGAAAATTTGATCCCTTCTTTTCCCTCCCTTTTGCTAAGCCCCATGGCTTTGCAAAAGGCAGGGGAAAGTGATGGTCTCTTTGACCGCCACTTTTCCCTTCCTTTTTGCTAAGTCCTGTGGCTTCGCAAAAGGCAGGGAAAAGCAGCTGTCAAAGAGACTGCCACTTTCCCCTGTCTTTTGCAAAGCGCTGCTTCTCCCTTCCTTTTTGCTAAGCCCCGTTGTTTTGCAAAAGGCAGGGAAAAGGGGTGGTCACTTTGACACCCACTTTTCCCTTCCTTTGTGAAGCCACAGAGCTTAGCAAAAGGAACTGCTTCTCCCTTCCTTTTTGCTAAGCTCCGTTGTTTTGCAAAAGGCAGGGGAAAAGAGTGGTCACTTTGACACCCACCTTTCCCTTCCTTTTGTGAAGCCACAGAGCTTAGCAAAAGGAAGGGAAAGGGGTTGGTCAAAGGGCTCCAGCAGCGGTGGCAGCAGGAGGTAGAGACTGAGGCAGAGAAGCAGCTGGGCTCAGCTGTCTCTTGCTGCTGCCCATTGACTGCTGTTGTTTTGCAAAAGGCAGGGGAAAAGAGTGGTCACTTTGACACCCACCTTTCCCTTCCTTTTGTGAAGCCACAGAGCTTAGCAAAAGGAAGGGAAAGGGGTTGGTCAAAGGGCTCCAGCAGCGGTGGCAGCAGGAGGTAGAGACTGAGGCAGAGAAGCAGCTGGGCTCAGCTGTCTCTTGCTGCTGCCCATTGACTGCTGCTGCCGCCGCTCTCTCGCCGCTGCCCATTGACTGCTGCTGCCGCCGCCCAGTCACAAGGAGACAATCGCTGGAGGGGGCGATCGGGCAATGGTGGCAGCAGTCAATGGGCAGCAGCGAGAGCTGGCCGAACGCGGCTACTTCCATGCCTCAGTCTCTGCCTCCTGCTGCTGTCTCCCATGTATAAAATGACCTCAATTTTTCCTCTAATTATTTTAGGGAAAAAAAGTGTCATTTTATACATGGAAAAATACGGTAACTCGAGGGGCTTCCATAGGAGAAAATAAGGCAATTGACACTAGGGAGCATAAGCAGTAAACAAAGATGGCACTATGCCAGGAGCATCAAGATAGGAGAAACAACAAATGGGTTGAAGGTGTCAGGCTGTTTCTGACATGAGTAGCTTTCCGAGCAGGATCAGACCAAGATATATTGCCTCTGATGGCACACCAAATGATGCTCCCCACTTACTCAAGTCAAGATGCAGAGTGTATTAAAGCAAAGTTATTATAGCACATGAAGCAGAAAATCCCCAAAACACTTCTTTCTCCCTATCTCTGGCATTAAAAATAGAGGTATGAATAAAGTAAGTAATGATTTGCTGTCTTTTTGTAGTGCCCCATATCTGTGATCTCAACCACCTTATTCTGCCTAATGTTGCGTGGTCCTTGTCCCTGAGTAGGTTGAGCATGTGTTGAAGAATTATCTGTGATATTTTAAGGGGGTTATGAGATACATTCTCATTCAGAATGTCTCATTCAGAATGTCAGTGCCCTTCACCTACTCCTGCCAATTTGCTAGTGTAATCAGGACACTCTGCCTCCCCCCAAAAAGTAAAAGCAAAACCAAATAGAAGCTCTAAAACAGGCTTGTCCAACCCGCGGCCCAAGGGCCGCATGCGGCCCAGGTCAGCTCATAATGCAGCCCAGTGCAATTTTTTATTTTAAAAGAAATTCCAAAGTTTCAAGTTACACTGCCGGCCCTTGCGGCTGGAATGTGGCCGGGGCATGTCACAACAGGAGAGGGGGGGGGAGGGAAGGAAGGAAGGAATGGGAGGGGAGGGGACAGGGGGGCTGCGTGACTGCATTGCACCATCCCCGTCAATAGGTGGACCCCCTCCCAGCCCCATAAAGCTGCCGGAGTCGAAGCAGGCAGCCTGTGCTGTCTGAGATCGCAGCTGCTGTTAAGCGCGCTTGGAGCTGGGCTGTGGAGGACAGCTAGGGCTGCCCCCCCATGCAGCCCAAACCAAATTTTCATCTTCTAATGTGGCCCGGGGAAGGTGAAAGGTTGGACACCCCTGATCTAAAACATCTTGGCTACAACCAGAGACAGAGTTTTTGACATGGGTAATGAGACTAGGTGACCGTGGCGGCAGTTTAGTTTTTTCAATTCGAGCCCATCTTTCTTCCATACTGGAACTCAAGGTGTCATATGTAGGGTCCCCGAATCACCACCCATCCAGCAGAGAGAGCCAAACCCAGACCTACTTAGCTACCCAAAGTTTGCTGTATCCTGTTTCTTCCATCCATGCCTTCAGTGATGGGAGGACGATTGCCATCTGAAAAGAGTTAGCAATTATGAAGGGACTCCGGATGGTTGGGAGGAACAAAATTATGCACTCCACCTCCTTACTCATTATGGTGTATGCGTGCTAGATAAAGAGGATAAAATAGACAAATATCTGGTTTCTATAAGCCGTCTGAATTTACATCCCAGTGGAATGGCATATCTTGCATGCAGAAAGTCACAAATCTAATTGCTTGTGGTAGGAAAAGGAATGGTCTGTATCTAAAATTCACAGTGGCTGTCAGTTAATGTAGATAATACCTAGCTAGTAGACTACACTACTAGTATATAGGTACTCTGGCAGGACTTGTGAAAGTTACTCTTTTTGGTGTGCAGCTCCCCAAATATAGCAGTCCATGTTGTCAGCAGTCATGCTGCTTGGAAGATTCTTGGAGTTACAAACAAACAAAAAAAAAAATCACAGATTCTACCACTTATCTTTGATGCACTCCAGTTCCCCTAGGTTGGAGAAATGGCTTTGTTCAGTTCACGTTTTTAGCTAATAAGTGAAGTAGTCTAGAAAGGGGAAAGTTTTCTTAAGCGTGAGAGATAACATGTCACTAATGTAAACAACACTTCAGCTGTTTTCCTTGGAATGTGTTGATCCAAACAAAGTGGTATTTATTTTTCCTTTTCTTTTGCCTTTCATGTTTACTACAATTATTAAGTACCAATAGTTTTACGAAAAAGCTGGCATTTATTATAGAAACAAAATGCAGACAAAGTCTTCCCTTAGATATTTCTACTGAAAATAACATTGTCACATGAGTTATGCATTTGGAAGAATAACTCTTGTTTTAATAACCACTTCATTATTACTAAGGCTTATGTCTATCCATGAACATCTGCTTTGAAAGTGAAGTTTTCTAACTATTAACAAGGCTGTCTATTATTATTTGGCAGTCTGGATGTGAGTAAGCATTCTACAAAGCAGAAGCCTATAAAAGTCTGCATTAGGAATTCTTCAAGTGTGGTAAAGAGAAATATTTAAATGTTCCACATCAGTTTCTCCAGTAAACAGGCTCAAGTTTTCTTTTAGTCACTTTCTGTAATTCACAATATTTAATGCACATGTTGCTCTATATTTTGAGAAGATGCATTTACTAATTTATGAACCGGCATAGCTTTTTAAAACTACTGTAAATTACAGATGGGTTCCTTTTTATCCATAAATTTCTTTGACCTGAAAAAACCTCCAATAAATGGTGTAGCACACTGGTTCTTAACCTTGGGTTACTCAGGAGTTTTAGACTGCAACTCCCAGAAGCCTTCACCACCAGCTATCCTGACTGGGGTTTCTGGGAGTTGCAGTTCAAAAGCATCCGCGTAACAAAGGTTAAGAACCACTGGTGTAGCAGAACCACTGCAGTCAGTTTACAGTGTCTATTTTACAAGTGTGATTCAGGAAAAGTGTGAATTGTAGATTATGAATTGTGTAAGACTTTGCTGCCTCTACATTATACAATGTATACTTTCTGGATACTTAAGATAAAAAAGATTCAGGATTTTACTCTAATTGTTTATATTTGTGGGATCTCTGGCCGGCGTACAAGACGACTTTCTGGCCCTGAAAAACATGCCTCAAAGCGGGGGGATCGTCTTGTACGCCGGGTGCATGTCTAGCAAACCCTCCCTCTCCCAGCGAAGTCACTAACCTGGTAGTAAGACCCAGTAGAGCCCCGCTCCTAGCCTGGGAACAGCCTGCCTCTAGCGCTGAACAGCTGACTGTCGGGAACAGCAGAGAGGAGGCAGCCATTTTGAGATGTGACCACATGGCTGCTGCCTCTCCAAAATGGCTGCCGCCTCTCCAAAATGGCTGCCGCCTCTCTGCTGTTCCTTCTTCCAGCAAACCCTGGCTCTCTCTGAAAAGGAACCAAAAGGGGCAAAAGGAACTCTCCCCATGATGCAGCCAAAGCAGAATCACGCATGCGGAAGAGGGGATAGTCTTATACAGCAAGTATATAACAAACTCTACATTCTGAGTTGGAATGTTGGGGGGCCATCTTATACACCCAGTCACCTTATACACCAGCAAATACGATAAGACTTTTCTGTTGCAGAGAACGCTTCCATGCGTGCAGCTCAGTGCATGTGAAGATAACCCATTCAAGAAAAACTCTTAGCATTGGGAAAGCTGTTCTTCCACAATTGCAAGGCATCTCTGGATTGGGCAACAATGTTACTTTTTTTTAATTCATGGAAGAAAACAGGAAATTAATCACTTATTTGAAAAGAATTCATTCCAGTTGACGTGTTAATTAGTGTTCCATAGTTCTTGTAGCAACTGCTGCAGTAACAGTGTCAGATAAACATTAACACATGTGCAAGTAAGCCGGTGTATTTCTATACAGTATTTGACAAATTAAAGCCTCTTTGCTCACAGGAACTGATGATTAACCTTTAAAGACCTTTTGTAAAATTAGAATGGACATATTACAACACATGCCAGAAAAAAAGAAAAAGAAAAAACAAGAGCACGTGTAATCAAATAAAACAATAAAAACTGTTTCTATTGGCTGTGTTGACATCTGGACTACCTCTTGGAAGTCATTGTGAAAAGGTTTTCCTAAGGGGAATGAAAGGTCCGGGTTGGCTTCCTCCAGAAGAAGTCTGTACAGATTCAGAGTGAGTATATCCCATTTCATAATAATTTTTTTTAAAGACAGAGAAAACTGTAGGTTCAAATTAATGCTCTGTGGGGATTTGGCAATTTTTTTGTTTAATTGCCTTGGTAAAAATAATGGCTTATCAGTTTAGGGAGTGTGTGTGAGGGTAGTGATGTAAATAGGTTCCAGAGGTCGAGAAAGCAATTCCAGAAAAGAGTTATATTCTCATTCATCCATCACTTATTTCAAATGATGGAAGAATGTTCAGTGGGGTTTTGGCATGTATTAAACTCTAACCTCATATTGAGAAGTACGATCATGTGAACATAGAAAACTGCCTTTGAATGAGCCAGGACATTAGTCCACTGTCTTCTATACTTACTGACACCAGTGTTCCAAGGTCCTTCTTTGTTCTGCTCCTCAGGAACTCTTTTTTAAAAAGCAGAAAGTATGGCAAATTAAACAAAATACCTTCTTATATACAAAGCATGTGTCTGAACACTTGTATTATCACCCTCAACAGAGACAGTGAATTCAAACGTGCAGTTTTCTTTGACAGTGAAATTGCCAGATGCTAACTTCAGAGACACACTGGTCCCTTTCAAAGCCTTCTGGGCAAAGAGTCAGCTGTTGGAAAACATATATCACACAACCCCATACAGTAGCTGTGTGTATTCCCTAGGTGTGAGAAGATAATACTTAAGTATTTCTGCATGTTGACTCATTGCCCAGTGCTCTTAAAGAAACAGGTGTCCCTTCTTTAGCATGGGGATTTGGCAGTCTTAGAAGGGAAAGAGAACACCCACCGACTCACTGTTGGAAAAAGAGATGAACAATTAATTACTTGGTATGATGAATCATTGGACAATAATACACTTTCTGGTTTCATCATATGTTTTCTGCCTTCATCTTCCGGTTCATGATGTTTCTTCATCTCCACCAACCATGGCCACCCAAAGATCTCCTCCTCCCTCAAAGAGTTCCACCTTCACCCTCTCCTATTCCTTATGTCTTAATATCCCTTCCTAATCTAATACAGTGTGACTTCTCTCTTCCTTCATCTTCTTTCAGTGCTTGCTCAAAACACATGCTTTTCTGTTAAGCTTTTCATTTCTTCCCAGTGTTATGTCCAAGTTCAATCTATATAGCTATATGTTTGTTGTATTTCCCATATTACCCTATTATCATCCTTTCTGGAGAACATGCTACGAAGGTTGACACCATCCTGAACTGTGCATATAAAACTGCCCTATATTCACCTTTCCTAGTTCCTGGGATGTAAGGTGACTCCAAAATTCAGTTCTCTTTCACCAAAGAGACCAGATTTCCTGGCTGTTATATTTTGCAATAACACTTCAAAACTAAGGCACTTTCGGTAGTTCCCTTTCCAGTCTTAAGCTATATACACAGATCTTCCCACTCTGAATGCCTCCCTGAAAGCATTTAAAGGAGTTGCTTTGATAAAAGAAAAGACAATACTGTATGTTACAAGATTGTTGGGTAATACAATTGAGTAATGCAGTGTAAACACATATAGGTACTGTAATTGCTTGGGCATTATTGTAAAGTTACAGAAGATGAAGATGCATCTATAGAGCAAAAGATTTCCAAAAGCACCAAAATAAGAAATGTAATGACACCAAGCTACTTATACCTCTGTAGAGCTCAGGTTTCAAACTTTATTAAAGCAGTGTCCTGGATTCCTTTGGGAACCTACACGGTTGACTTCAGAGCTTCTTCAGCTATAGACAGCCAAGAGAACCAGAACCAGCAGGATGCACTTGACTTATGAAAAAAGAGAGAGGTTCTCTAAGCGACTTCCCTTGGAATCTAGTCGGTTTTCCCTGCTGTTTCCTCTCTAGATCACCTTGCAGGCGTAGAGCAAGAACTCTGGAAGGCTAGCCACTTGCACTGTGTTGTTGTTTCATCGTTTAGTCGTGCCCAACTCTTCGTGACCCCATAGACCAGAGCACGCCAGGCCCTCCTATCTTCCACTGCCTCCCGGAGTTGGGTCAAATTCATGTTGGTCGCTTCGATGACACTGTCCAACCATCTCCTCCTCTGTTGCCCCCTTCTCCTCTTGCCTTCACACTTTCCCAACATCAGGGTCTTTTCCAGGGAGTTCTCTCATGAGATGACCAAAGTACTGGAGCCTCAGCTTCAGGATCTGTCCTTCCAGTGAACACTCAGGGTCGATTTCCTTCAAAATGGATAGGTTTGTTCTCCTTGCAGTCCAGGGGTCTCTCAAGAGTCTCCTCCAACACCCCAGTTCAAAAGCATAAATTCTTTGGCAGTCAGCTTTCTTTATGGTCCAGCTCTCACTTCCATACATCACTACAGGGAAAACCATAGCTTTGACTATTCGGACTTTTGTTGGCAAGGTGATGTCTCTGCTTTTTAAGATGCTGTTGGGGTTTTGCCATCGCTTTCCTCCCAAGAAGCAGGCGTCTTTTAATTTTGTGGCTGCTGTCACCATCTGCAGTGATCATGGAGCCCAAGAAAGTAAAATCTGTCACTGTTGTGTAATGTCACAATTGCACTATACAGGCCACTGTACCGTATCTGCTTCCCTGACTCTCGCCCCAAGCTTTTCTTTTGAAGAAAATAGCAGCTGGGAGGTAGGTTTTCATCGGCGTTGTGATCTGGGGAGTGAGGGGGTGTTCACCGCATCATCTTTGCCCATCCTGCATTACTTTAGAACCATATGTGAAATGCAATCATGCATTTCAAGTATTGGCTATTTTTACTCTTAGAGTTATTTGCTGGTATGTTCCTGTTGTGCTGAAGAGGATATATTTGACCAAGAACTTCATTAATCAGCATTTCAGAGGAATGCAGAGGAGGGAATAAGTTCCCTTACTCTTGTCTTTGCTGATATGAGGTCTTTTCTCATTCTGGTATGAAAACACAACTCTTGTCTTTATCATTGCCTGAAGATACAATGCAGCTGTGCCCTGACATGCAAGCAGCTTGAACTTTTCCTGAGCTGCTGACTGCTTATCTGCTGTTGCGGACCAGAAGAACATTGGGGGTTGGCACATTTTCATTTAAACTCAGTGGCCATGCATATAAAAGCCAGGGCAAAGGCATAGCTAGGGGAGGTGTGAGAGCTGGCAGACTGAATAAACCAACATGGTTGGCATGAAACCAACTACATGGCAAAGAGTGGGGAATGGAATGAAAGGAAAGAAGGTTTGAGATCACAGTGAGGAATAGACTGTGCATTCAACGTACAGCAACATTGACAAGTCAGTTTGGAGGGAGGAAATGGGCCCAGAGAAACAGGAAGTTATTGAAGGCAGAGCTGATGGAGACAAGGGATTATGAGGAAACCCAACAAAGTTGCAGCAGGCAGTCTGACAGCACGGCAGTGTTCACTGACAAAGGCATAGAAGAAGAAAAACTTTGTTTCCTAATTACCCTGGAAGTATGCTGCTTGTAATGCTTTATTTTCAAGTTCTGCGTTATGTTTAAATCAGTATTTTAGGCCTGGGGGCCCAGCAGCAACCAGTGCAGAGTTTTTGAAATTATAGGGGATGTGCTTCCACCTTGTCATCTGAGAATGTATGTAGGTTTTGGACCACCTTTCAGTAAAGTCATGTGTAGATCACATTAGAGCAGTCGATCTGAGCGGTTGTGGAAGCATAGGTTACAGTGGGTGGGCTATTTTGGTCTAGGAATGACTGCAACTTTTAAATCAGTGTGGGATTTCTTGTCCTTTAATTTAGAATCAAGACTTGCCAAGCTGTGGGTCTACTCCTTCAGCAAGAAATGCTTGCCCACCCATTATAAGCTGTTTGCTCAATCCCCAGACACAAAACTCACTTATCAGTAGTGTAATCAATGCTTTGTTGATATTCAGTGCCATTTACTGGCCTTCACGGAGCTCATCATCACCTTCACCTGCTTATTCTGTAGTTCTCCTGATACAGATGGAGAGGAGAGAGAGAGTTGGGCATCTCATGCGTACCTCCTCCAACAGTTTCATGTTGTTGTTAAATAGTTGGTAGGACAAGATGAAACACTGTGAGATGCCATGAAATAAATTATATGGAACTGAGTAGCACTTCCTGCCAGTAGAAATGCAACTCATGTATGGCAATGTCTGTAGATCCCATCCCACAACATTGCACTGGAAGGATACTGTGGTCCTGAGTTTGACACAGCCAAGAAGCTGAGCAGAGAATAGAGTAGCATTCCTCCTTATCTCTCTCCTGATACAGGTAATCCATCAGAGCAGTCTAGATGGTTGCAATACTTGGGACTGAACTGAAATGGGTCTGGATAATCCACTTCATACAGACATGCCTGCAGCTGGCAGAGCAGTTAGCAAAGATAACAAAACAGTGTTCTTATCTAGGATTTCACATATAGCCTTCTTCTTAAGATTTCACACAAAGATATTTTACTCCAGATAAGGCCAGTAGGAGAGAGGGGAGGCATCCAGTCTGCTCAGACCATCTGAAATAATGAATACTGCCCAGCAGTGAAACTTCGATCTCTGACTCCTTGAACAGGTATATTTGATCTGTTGTGCAAAGAACAGTCCCCCATCCGGTGAAGAGTAGGGGATATGGACTGCTTGCAGACAAGATGTGTGAAAATGGATCGAATTGAATGTATTTGTGCAATTTTGGAATGACCACAGGGCTAAGCCATGACACCCCCATTGATCCTTTGTGTTCCGTCTGCCATTCATGTGGTTAAAACTTACTTAAAAATGTACTTCAAGCGAGGAAGGGATAATCAGAAGTAATACACAGTATCCAGGAAAACTCAGCTGGTGCCAAAGAGGAAGGAGGGTGTCAGCTGAATACCCCAGTGAAATGGAAGATGATTCCCAAATTCTCTAACACCTGAGGTATTGTGAGGCTCAGTCTAAGATCCTTCAGTACTGCATGTTAGTTTGCAGTGCTGAACCAGCAATGATTCCCAAACTCTCTAACACCTGAGGCATTGTGAGGCTCAGTCTAAGATCCTGCATGTTAGTTTGCAGTGCTGAACCAGCCATTTTCTATA